GTTTCTTTCTGAAAAAAATCAAGCTTTAAAAAATGTTGAGGATTAACATGTAGATCTTATTTCAGGTGACAAGGAATTCCACAGGAAGAAAGAAATAGATGAGAATGCCTACTTTTGAGTCCCCTCCCATGTGACCTTACAAGAGGCAGAGACTGTCATCATACACTTTCTGCCAGCAGGACTTGGATGGGCAGATTCTATCTGGAGGAAGTGGTCTTGCCCATCAGCAGGTCCCAAACCATACAGGGCTTCTTAGGTATGCACTTTGAACTGCATCTAGAAACACACTGGCAACCAATGCTGCTTCTGCAGTACAAGTGTTATGTGCTACTATCAGCATGTTTCCATTAATATGCAGGTCACTGCCTTTTGCACTGGTTTCAGTTTCTGGATGGTCTTCAAGGGCAGTCCTAAGTAGAGCAGATTATAGTAGTACAAACAGGTGAAAAGGGTATGAGTGGCTGTTGTTGCTGCCTCCTGTTCTAAGGACACCAAGCAAAGTTGTGCAGTGGCTTTCCTGGCCATAGCTTCTATCTCCTGCTCTAGAGGGATCCCAGTTTTTCCTCAGAGGAGCATAAACCTTATCTAGAGCTAAATTTGGTACTATCCTGGACTCAGTTGGCTTCTCTGTCAGCAGCCACTCTGTTATATTAGGGTTGAGTCTCAACATATTTCTCCCCATCCAGGCCCTTACAGCTTCCAGACATTGGGGCAAAACTTCCACTGTATCTCTTGTTTGCCCTGAGATAGAAATGTACTGTATAATCTGTAATGATACTATACCCCAAACTATTGAATGATCTCTCATGTAGCTGTTAAATAAAACAGTAGGGAGAATTCAGTAGCACCCCAATATGCTTCTCCTCCATTGTCCCTAAACTTGCAGGTGGTACAGAAGGATACCATGGTTAAGGGCATCAAAGGCTGCTGAAAGATCTAGAAGGATTAGTAGAGTCATACCCTACAATCAGTGCATAGGAGAGACTCAAAAAGGGTCTCAACAGAACTGCCCTTCAGATTTCTGGGAAACTCCTCAAGCACCTCCAGAAACCAGATGAGTCTTGCAAGATTGATGTTAGCCCTGTGAGATAGACCAGGCAAGAAGTACAACCAGGAGTACTATCTCTATCTTTATTGTAAGGTTCCATTAACAGAATCTTGCAAGACCGAAAATATTTCTCCCCTCCTTTCCTTTTACTCTCCAGAAAACTAGGGAAGGTCCCTTCTGAAACGGTTCCTACGCCATCCCCCCTTCTGTAGGCTGAGACATCCTTTACATGCTGGTTGTCCCAACTGTAGCTCTCCCTCCTGTCTCCCAAGGTCATTCCCACATACCATTACAACAGATTCCTCCATCCATGGTAACTCTGGCTATGGTGGTCTTAACAAAGCAGCCTCCTCCTTTCCCATTCTGCCACTGCCCCTGTTACACATGATCTCCCAAAGTCACACAGTTTTACAGACTTTGCTTGCGACCTCCCAGGACACATCCCGTCCAGCTCCATCATCAGTCAGGTCAATTGCACAATGAACCATGTGAGATGACTGGTGATCACAAAGAACTCAGTTTGTCTTCTCTGTGATCACCAGTCATCTCACGTGGTTCACTGCGCAATTCAACTCACCCCAATTTTTACCATCCTCTAGCACCCTCCCTAATTACCATTCACCCCCAGACAGGCCAATTCTTACTGCCTAGTTAAAAACACTGTCAGTTTCCTTATTTGAACAGTAATCCCATCCAAAACCACTTGTCTGATCACTAGGTCCCTGATCAACACCATTTCCATCTTGTCTGTATCAAATATTAAAGAATTTGATCCTCTCCCCTCACAATTAATCTACTCTCCTGTTTTCTGGAATTTGAATTATTATTAGGCATTGAGCTACACTTTCAAGATCAATTACCTCTGAAGAAAACATTCAGCTAACAATTATGTTGCATTTTAGCAATTTTCCAGTGGAGGCCTAGACAATAGAAAATATAAACTCTTTCAGCCAAGAGATTTGTTTTATTTAGCAAGCTTCTGTTTGAAACATGGAACAACGTAGGCAAAATTAGTAAGCAATCTGCAACAGTAATTATAATGAATATTAGAAGCAATACAGACTAAACTGTTATACTGAAAATAAAATCGGTAGCTTGAGATAAATATTTTAAGATACTGCCTGCTTGATGTCTTACAAATAATATAAATCAATGTCATGCTCACTTCGGTCCCTCTTTTCTTTAGAAGATTAAAAAAACAAGGCCATGCCTGAGTACAGCTCAGAGTCTAATTTGTACCCATTACGGGAGTCGTGCTGATGAACTCTGACTGCAACAGCTAATTTAAACATTTTTGCTTGTCCATTATGCTCAGCCAGGCAAAAGCTTTACAGCTTCCAGTTTGCTTAGCAATTTGGTCTTTAGATCAATTTAGTTTGGGTAGCCCCCGTTTCAGCCTTAGTTCGCCTTCATCAATTACCCCAAGTCTCTATCGTTTGGCATAAGTTTCAGCTTCTTTGCTCCTTGCGCCCTTGTGAATTGCCTCCAGAGACTTTACAAGGATTTATACTGGAACTCCATTATTGCTTCAGGCCTCCCTGTTACCGCATTCCTTTCAAACAGAATTGATCTCCAGTAAGCACAGATCAGAGACCAGAGGACAATATCTGTTTTATTTAAAATATGAGCACAAAGTGCACACCAGCACGTATATTCCCCCCCCCCCAAATCAATGAAAGTTAAAACTAAGGAGGCTTAGTATGTGATTAAATGGAACGTGCTCTGTATGGGGCTGCCCTTGAAGACCACTTGGAAACTTCAACTGGTCCTGAATGCAGTGACATGGGCAGTTATGGGCATGCCTCTGTATGCCCACGTGACACCTCTGCTTCACAAGCTGCCCTGGTTGCCAGTTTGCTTCCAGGTGCAAGTCAAGCTGCTTGGTATGACCTATAAAGCCCTATATGGCATGGGGCCTGCTTATTTGAGGGGCTGCCTATCTCCCATGGTGTCTGCCCAGCCAGTTTGAACTGACGGGTTCGTATGTTCCGGTTTCCTTCGATTAAACGTCACCTATCAGGACCCAGGAAGTGCACCTTCTCTGTTGTGCCTGCCCTCTGGAATGAGGTCCCCCCTGAGATGTGGATGGCTCCCACCCTGTTGGCAGTCCAAAGAGCCACAAAGACCTGACTGTCCTCCTAGGACTTGGGCTGGGGTGGTTGGTGCCCCCTTCATTGGATGGCGGTTGTTGGTGGGATGTTTTGGGAAGGGCTGGATTTGCCATTTTGCTCTTCTTTTCTTTGTCTGAGTTGGGCGCTGTTGTTTGTTTGTCTGTTTTTATATTGTTCTGTTGTGTTGTGAGCCACTCAGAGTTTTTTGGAGTTGGGCAGCATTGAATAAATAAATTTGGCAGGATGATCGATATTGCTCTCCCCATCATCTTGACTTGTATATTGGCTTTTTATATAAAATTGCTACTTGCTATTTTAATTGTGGACATTTATATTTGTATTGTTTTTATTGTCTCGGATTTGAATTGTAAGCCACCCAGAGTCACCCTTTGGGGGGAGGCATATAAAATTAATAATAAATTAATTAATTAAATAAAATGATTTCTTTAAACATGTACAAACCCAGCCATAGTGCTGCAAGTATGAGAGAAATAGGTTATCAACATCGTGCATTTTTTTTACAACTTACTACAGAAGTAGGCTCCAATTGCTGTCAGTCTATTAACTATCAATATATGCATCACAATAAAATAATATAAAATTGATTCTGCATGTTCATAGATATGCTCCTGCCCCAACTCCATTAGCTGCCCTTCTCTTTTCTCCAAACTGGGGCATCCACAGCAACAGTCATTGGCTTAAAAAGGACAGGTGGAATTGGGCAATCAAAGCCCCGCCCCTTTTTGATGTACGTCGCACACATTGCATGCGCCTCAATAGAGGCAAGGCTTTGATTGCCCAATTCCATCTGTCGTTTTGAAGCTAGCGATTGTCACTGTGGACTCCCTGGCACCAAACAGTCAGAGACTGTCGCTGTGTATATTCCAGTAATTTCTATAAATTTTCATTTATGCTTCTGGTGTCAGTTTCTAAATAAGATCTTATCAGCTGATCCAGCTTTAACTTTAGTTTTGTAGTATGGCTGGAAAACTCCTTGAATTGATTTCTTTTTTATATACACAAAGTGCGTACCTTCCTTTAGCAAAATTCTGCAGTTAAGATGAATAATACTGAGCTTCGAAAGAGATTGCTCTCATCAGCACATAGAAGCTCTTACTGCACAAAACACCTGTCATAACCCCCCCCTCATTTTTAGTCACTATGCTACACACCAACTTCTGTAAACAGCTGATGCTTTAAAAGGGGGGGGGGACCCAAGCAGCTCATTTTTTTACAAATTCTAATATGGTTTTTTGTTGGCAGCATTTCCCAGGCAGAACAGGTGTAAGTGGGCAAAGGTCCACCATATACTGTAAACTTTCCCTTTTTTTGCACAGTATGTTTCTTAGGCATGTATAAATAAGATGTGGGCATTTTTATAGCTATTGCTTAGTTTTTATGCCAATAGGCAGAATCTTAGTTTTTATGCCAAAAGGTATTTATGCCAAAAGGCAGAATGTCTACTAGCTAACTATTCTGCCTACGATTTTATCTTGAGAGAGATAAAGAGGACAAGAGAGGAGGGGGGAGGGAGGGAGGGAGGAAGGAAGGAAGGAAGGAAGGAAGGAAGGAAGGAAGGAAGGAAGGAAATAATGCTCCAGTTTTCCTGTCTATCTTCCACTCTCACACATGGCTTTTAAGTATGTCACTCTTCATGTGTATGTAAGCTAGAGGTGAATAAATGTTTATTTTGAAAAAGTCTACTATCGTTCCATCAAGGAGTCAGCAGGGACTTTTGGAGGAATGTGTAAGGTTTCCTTCCTTCCTTCTCTTGTCAGTTCATAAGAGGAAAATGCCACTTAGGCCTGATATATTCATTGAAATGTCACTCTCTGCTACAGGATTCAAAATGGTGGCTGTTAGAAGCAGCAGGAGAGGTCAAGATGCGGATTGGATGGCAAGCAAACATGCCAGAAGGAGAAAAACAATGGGAAAGGGGTACATACTTGCTGTTGTGCAGATTTTACATCCCATAAGAACACTGGAAAACATATGGACATCAGTCTTGTGTTTGGATAAGGACCTCCTGATTGTGAAAGTGAGTAATACAAAGGTCACAAAGAGGCCTGGTTTGCATATCACACTACATGGTTTGCTTATCCATGATATCTTGATTGAACCACATGCTAAAGCATAGATCATGGTTTATAAACCACAGTGGCTTGATTTCCACAATTTGAGGACCTGGCTATTAGCAGCACTCCCTAAATGGAGTTGGCAAGATTCCCAAATTACATAAAAACTAATTCTATTTTAATGATTTGTAAATGTTTAAAATCTTGCAAAACCACTAAATCTCACACGTACTGAAATCTCACAGGATTTTGAAATCATTACTAACTCATTTTGATGCACATGATCACAGTTAATAGACTGACAAGATTTATTGGTCCGGTAATATTTTTAGATACTTCTTATATGTGTATGTGACATACAGACATAAACATACTATGTATATACAACTGACCCTTGTTATCCATGGTCTCATTAGCTGCAATTATGTGCATCTGCAGTTGATCAATAAAGATTAGATCTCAATAAATGCAAACAGGTTTTTGCATATCATGAGTTTGGGCTTTGTTTTATGTTACTTCATGCATGCGCAAAATTGTAGGACTTTTGTGCACGTGTAAAGTACATTTTTTACATATTAGGGTTAGGCATTTGTACAATGTACCTGTATTTGTTCCGCCTTCTCACTCAATTGCAGCAGGTCTGACTGGGTCAGCCTGATCACAAGGCTCCATGTGGCTTTCTTATAGCAGCTGGTCCTTTTTTTTCCCTTGAAGTGACTCACTTGGCTGGTAAGGGAGAGAGCCACGTGGCTCACACTGGCTTTGTATTCCACATGACTCTTTTATGATCTTGGTGGAGGGGTCTCTCATCTTGCTGCTGGACATTGGGATTCTCCAGAGGCTATTCATGGCTCACTCCAGTGACTGTGTGATTGGGGTAGTCCTCTTTCTCCTGAAGTCTCCAACCACAGGGATCGGCTGGTGATGACACATGGAAGGCGATGATATGGAATATAAGAGGAGTAGATGGTAAACACCATGAATTAATGAAATAATATAGATAGATACTTGTATGGAGGGAAGGATGTAAGAGAGTTGAATGAAGGTAGACTAATCTTCGGGAGTCATGGTAAATAAAAAAAAATGGAACCTTGATGCAGAGCTGATTATTTTGAAAGCAGCCCTTTCAGTTTTATTAAGAATACAGTTTGGAAACAGGTCTTCTTTAATCACCATAAGCATATCATTTTCTTCTAATTGTACAAAAGCCCTTGTTACAACTCTTTGACAGAATTTGAGGAGGCTCTTGAACAACTTGGATGGTTTTACTTATAATTTAATTGGTAATTTTCATGCAAGGATAGACAGTGATTAAAATAAATTAGCTATACATTTAAATCTGGAGATGTTGAAAATGTTTCCTCCCAAGCATTTTCAAATGTGGGACAGACCTGACATATTTATTCAAGTGTCAAGCATACTGTTCATCCTGTGTTGTTTATGGTAGTCACAACACAAGGGAGGAATAATAAGCTTGTCAACACCTATTTTGTTTAAGAGGGAACATGAAGGAAAGGTAACGCCTAAAGTTTTGCAATAGGCTAAAGGACACATGGAACATAATATACCTCAGGCTACTGTAGACTGTTGTAAACCAGTCTCCTCTGTTCTTTCATGAATTTCTAGAGTGTCGTGCTTGGTATTTATATTCTCTTGAATTTTGCCATGAATAAAATGAAACTCTGCTTCACTAAACACAGTGTGTGAACCCATTGTTGTCTGTAAAATCAGGCCATATGGTTTTGTCTTATGTGTAAACTGGGCTATGGTGACTTGTCCAACGAAGTGCAGTTTAAAACAAGCCTCCACTTAAGACAGTGTGTGAACCCAGCCATTGACTGTCAATTTCCTTAAGTTTCTGGCAGGGATCTTTCTTGCTTGGGGATGCAAGGATTGAACCTGGACCTTTTGCATGAAAAGTGTGTTTCACCAATAACTGTAGTCCTTGTTGAAAGAAACAATATATTAAATCCAAGGATTATGTCCTACATGGACTAATTAATTGGGTATTTATATTTCCATTTAAAAGTTGCATTGCCTGGGCCTCTCAACCACTTTCTATTTAGGGAGGTGCTTAATGTTCTGCATTGTTGTGAACCAGCCAGAAAATGTTGCAACCCCCCCCCCAATAATATATTGATCTGAACATTTGGGGGTTGATTGTGTATTTCCCAAAATGAAGCATCTGGGAAAGCAGAAACCACTTTCAATTCTAGACAGCCCGCTTCTAGAAATAAGCAAAGTGCCTCTGGAACCTTCGAATTGGTGCATTCCAGGAGAAAATGGGATGTTCCAGCCAGTAGTGCACTGACACACAACATTTTGCACATCCCTACTTCTATTTAGGCCAATGACCAGAATGTGACCTCCTTAGGTTTTACAACTGTAGAATTATAAGGTTGGAAAGAAGTTATTAATGTCAGAAACAAAATGGTGTTAAGAAAACTGCTATTTTAGTTCCATAAAAAGGCAAACAGCAAGCAGAACGGTGCAGAATGGCGCAAAATATCTTCCCAACTGGAGAATTGTTTTTAACTCACTTTAGGCATGCATACAATTGGTTCTCCACCATGATTGCTAGGGTATACTTTGCACTTAACTATCTAATCCTTGCTTTACCTACTTGGTGTGTTCTCCTGCTTTGCTGCTCTAAAAATCTAAACCCTTGTTCAAAGCAGAATTGATAGGTACCACATCCCTATTAGATAGTTGTGACAAGAGAAGTACCAGACTTTATTGACAAACTGAACATCAACAAATCACCAGGCCCTGATGGCATCCACCCAAGGGTGGATGTTATTAAGGAGCTTAAAGCTGAGATTGTGAACCTCCTAACTAAAATATGCAACCTGTCTCTACACTCTGTAGTTGAGGACTGGAAGGTGGCCAACATAACTCCCATTTTTAAAGAAGGGCTCGCAGGGAGATGCAGGAAATTATAGGCCAGTCAGCTTAACATCTTTTCTGGGGAAGACAGCAGAAACTGCTATTAAAGATAAAATTGCCAAACATTTGGAGACATAGCCTTATTCAAGGATATTGAACATGGTTTCACTAAGGGAAGGTGCTGTCTAACTAATGTACTAGTTTTTTGAGGGAGTTAATATTGTTTAGAGTGGTAAAAACAATAAGTACTGCAAAGAGTTCTGAAGGGATTGTTGCATGTTAGGGGAGTGAGTATTGAAATGGCAGATCTTATTCAACATGAGCAAGTGTAAAGTGATGCACATTAGAGCCAAAAATCCTAATACTGCTCATACAAACTAATGGGATCAGAGCTAGTAGTGACTGATGAGGAAACAGACCTTGGAGTAATGGTAAACAATTCAATGAAGGTGTCAACACAGTGTGTGTCTACTGTGAAAAAGGCCAAATGGCATCTTAGGAATAATAAGAAATGGTATTGAAATCAGATATGCCAATATCATAATGCTTTTATATAAATCATTTGTGAAACCACATATGGAATATTGTGTGCAATTCTGGTTGCCTCATCTCAAAAAGGATATAGTAGAGCTACAGAAGGTTGAAAGGAGGGCAACTAAGATAATCAAACGGCTGGAGCAACTTCCATATGAGGAAAGGTTGTGACATTTGGGGCTTTTTAGTCTAAAAAGGAGGTGAATAAGAGGGGACATGATTGACGTGTACAAAATTATACATGGTGTGACTAAAGTGGGCAAGGGGAAGCTATTTTCCCTTTCCCAAAATGCTAGAACCAGAAGTCACCCAATGAAACTGAATCCTGGGGGGTAAAAAGGACAGATAAAAGGATTTTATTTTTTAATAATATATAATTAAACTTTAGAACTTGCCACCTTGAAATGTGGTGCTGGCTTCCAGCTTGACTGGCTTCAAAAAAGAGTTGGATCAATTCATGAAAGTCATGGGGATCAATGGCTATTAGTTTTGGTGGCAGTGTGACTACCTCTGATAGCCACCTGCTGGGAGACTAGTGGGCTTCCTTGTGCAATTGTGGAGTCCTTGGGGTTCTCTGAGCTTGGTTGTTTTCTTGCAAACATTCAGTGAAGGTGTTACCTAGCTGGGTAACGAAATGTTTGCAAGAAAACAACAAAGCTCAAAGAACCCCAAGGACTCCACAGTTCAACCCTGAGCTACACATATTCTCTTCTACTTGTACAATTGGTTGACCACTGTGAGAACAGACTGTTGGACAAGATCAGCCAGGAGTCTGATCTAGCAGGGTACTGCTTATGCTCTTATGTTCTTGTTCCATCTTCTAGCTGATAGTCGTTCAAATATTTGAAGACTGTTATCATCTTTTCCTAATTTTCAGTTATTCAGACTAAACATATCCAGTTTTCCATTCAACCATTCCTCATAAAAGTGTTCCCCACAAATGGGGATGCAGCTAGGAAACATTCAGTGGAGAAGCTGGCAGTAAAATCGCAAGTCATGGTCATGTGATGTCTTGCTTAACAACTGTGTTGCATAGTGATGGAGTTGCTAGTCCCAATTGTGGTTGTTAAGCGAGGACTACCTGTATAATATACCTCACAAAGTTCAATCCATATTCTGAGCTTCCTCACAGTTCCTAAGCTTATCAACAAGTACAAACTTTTTGGACTTTGGGCTTCTAAGGAACAGCCCAGGGACTGCCCTTCAAAACATAGGCAGAATTGCCTCTAAGAAGCAGGGAGGACTACAGCAAAATTTAAATTTGATTTAATTTCATTTAGTTAACATTAAAAAGAATGAATGTCGGTAATATGATAACTCCAAATTTATTTAACATTTTTTCTTTTAGGTTACATTAAAAATACATTTTGGTGGAAACTTTAGGAGGAGTCCCAGGAACTAGATACATGGGCCTCAGGGACACGTGGCTTTGGAGCTTCGAGTAGTGCATCCCTATGTCCCTGTGTCCTTTCCTCTGCTTAAATGTCAGTAGAATGGCCTGTGTGATCAGCTAAAATGAGTCTGCAGTCACAGAGAGTTCTAC